ATTGCTTCACATTCCATAATGTGCTGATAGCTGTTCCAGAGAGAGTAATTTAATCAAGTGGACACATGAGCCAATCAATCTGAGGCTGAGGGAAGCCAACCCACCTTCTTTTTCTTCTTTTTTTTTGTAAAGTACAAGGTAGGAGTCCAGCAAAACTTTCCAAACACCTTTTTCTATATTTAAACAGTTGCACACAGTTCATTTTCCTACATACCTTGCCTTGTGGTTACAATTTTAAAAGTCATATAATCTCTTCAAACACTTGGCAATGAAAAAAAAAATCAGGGCACAAAACTGAACAATCAGGTGGTAGGTGGGTGTAGACTGAATTTAGGCCTCTGAGGAGGAGGGCTCCCTGAGGTAGAGTTCTTAAAACAAACAAAATAACAATCAGGCTTAAGCAGGTTAAGGATCAGTGGCACTATTACATAGTTACAAAGTCAATATAGTGGAGCAGCCTTCACCATTGTCTACTTTTTGCAGCTCCAAGACACCCTGGTGCAGAAGGAAGAAGAACTTGCTAGGTTACATGAAGAGAATAATCACCTCAGACAATACCTGAATTCTGCTTTGGTTAAATGTCTTGAGGAAAAAGCCAAGGTATGTACCTCTCCCCTCTATAAGGACAAGAGTGGATATAAGTCTATTTGAGAAAGAAGAGCATTGGGATAAAACTCCTTGATTAAATGGAGGAAGTGTACCAAACATACCTTCAAATGCATTTATAGGATGGATAGATTTTTCTAATCAAAATAAAGCACTTTCAGAAGAATTTTTTATGTATCATTTCTTGGAAGCAACTAGATTATATATTTTAGTCACATGTTACAAAAGAAGTTGCTTAAGGATCACAGGCCAGCCAAGGGAGTTGCGGAGACCACAGAAGTTAACCAAAAGACAGACTTAGTTAGATGGAACATTGGAGAGGGAATCAGATCTGAGGAATGCTGGGTTTTTTTTTCATTATCTGTTTGACTTTCCGTGAATCGCTGTCGCTTAGGGCCTCAGTTACCTTCATCTGCAAATGAATGGGCTAAAAGATCTTTTAAGAATCTTCCCAGCTCTGAATTGTCATGAATATGACTGAAGCCCAGATCTCTTGACTGTCAATTAGAGATTGCTAATTACATTATCTTTATTTTGTAATTGATTTTTAGAGAGAGGGGGAGGGAGAGAGACAGAAACATCAGTGTGAGAGCAACATTGATTGGCTGTTTCCTGCAAGGCCCTACCAAGGATCCAGCCCAAAACCCAAGCAAGTGTCCTGACCAGAAATCAAACCGGCAACCTTTCAGTGCACAGGATGATGCCCAACCAACAGAGCCACATTGACCAGGGCTACATTATCTTTTAATAAGCATTTTTCTTATATTTTTAAAATGAATTATTCTAACTCAAGGGTAAACAGCTTGCCCATAGCCCCTTTTTGTTCTTCTTCATTGCTTTGGGTTTTGTATTTTTTGTTATCTTTTTGCCATTCTGTTATTATTATTATTGCTTTTATCAATCTTTACTTTCTTCTAGACAAGCCACATTATTTGAAATGATTTAATCTAAATTGATGATGCTTTTTTACTACTCTTACTGGACATAACAGTTCAGAGAAAAAAGGGCACACTATTTTTGATTCCTTTACAATTCAGCTCTTATCATTATTAGCCTTAACTCCAGAAAAAGAAGTTATTAAATTAGTGCATGATATTAATTAGGCATTTTTTTCTCTTATTCGCAATTTTGCAAGATTTAGAATGCTATAATACATATCACATGGGAGTGCTATGAAAGTTAATGAAATACGAGGAAGCAGTGTTACCTAGTGTTTCTTTTTTTTCTTTTTGGACAGTAATTGCAAGTAATTTTATTATTTTTATTTTTTAAATTTATTTTTATTGTTGAAAGTATTACAGATGTCCCTACTTTATTTTTTTTAATTTATGTTTATTGTTGACACTACTACAGATATTCCCCTTTCCCCCCCTTTGCCCACCTCCACCCAGCCCTGCCTCTCCTTCCCTCTGGCCATCACCACACTGTCATTTGTGTCTATAGGTTATGCATATGTTTTTTTGGCTAATCCCTTCACCTTCTTTCATCCAATCTCCGCTTCTCCCATCTCCTCTGACAGCTGTCAGTCTCTTCCATGTATCCATGTCTCTGGTTCTATTTAGTTTGTCTGCTATTTTGTTCATTAGATTCCACATATAAGTGAGATCATATGGTATTTGTCTTATTTCACTTAGCCTAATAATCTCTAGGTCCATCTAAGCTGTTACAAAATATAAGATTTCCTTCCTTTTTACAGTCATGTAGTATTCCATTGGGTAAAGGTACCAGAGCTTTTTTTTTAAATCCTCACCTGAGGATATATGTTTATTGATGTGTGTGTGTGTGTGTGTGTGTGTGTGTGTGTGTGAGAGAGAGAGAGAGAGAGAGAGAGAAGATAAACATCAACTGGCTTCCTCCCATATGCACCCTGACCAGCGATCTAACCCACAATGTAGGTATGTGCCTGACCAGAAGTCTAACCAACAATCTTTTTGGTGTACCAGATGATGCTCCAATCACCTGAGTAACCCAGCCAGGGCCCACATCTTTTTAATCCACTCATCTTCTGCAATGATCATAGGGCTACATACTAGTATGTACTTTTGAAATCAGTGGGTGT